TTCAAATCAAAATTTAGGAAGACTGGTGCATTGTGCAAGTCATAAAGAATACATTGGGCAGATACACGACTTACATTTTTCAATAACCAGCTTTGTGTTATGTGAAATTTGGGTCAATTTTTACTATTCGGATTAGCCTAGGATACAACTCTGAACAGTTACCGTAACACACACGCCGTCTCATGTAACTGCTGCTGTTGCCATCACCGCTATCAAGTAGTTTGGACATGGCAGGAGCTCAAAACTGAACAAAGCCAGCTGGTAGTCTTTCAAAGAATACTGACGAGTGACAGTCTGTACACGAAATGTGCTGCCTCAAAAAGAAGATTCGGACTGGCTGTGACACACTACTTTCAACTACAGGCGGATGTCAAACCATGACGCAGTGTCAAGAGCGAATGCCCCATATGACCCATGAGCCTCTCGAATGATATTTTGTGAGCATTGTGTTTGTCACTTCATTGCTAGGCTACAGCATTATCATGGAAACTAAAGAATGGCTGCATGACGTGACAATGCATAATGGCGAGGTGTTGTGCTGTGTGGTGAGTGAGTGGACGGAGTGGATGCCCCAGGGGCCTCTCGTGTTGCTACTTGCTATGCTGTGCTATCTATCGAAGTCACACCTGGCTATCACTACATGACTGTACTTGCACTAACACCCTTACTAGTATATTCAGTGTAGTCTATACTTAGTAGGATCTCTTTTGCTCAGCCCTTATCTTCGGCTAAGATGCGCCATTATGTTTCCCTTTTTTGCTACAAAAAGGTAAAGTTCACTACTCTTTTTATTTTTTCATACGAAAGTCCACTATAATAGTTTGCAGGCAACCAGACAAACCTGCCTATATCCCTGATGATGGTCATGAAGACCGAAACGTTGAAACGATACTTCCAATGGATCTGTGTGAAATGCAATGCTCTCTCGAGTGTAGGCAGGTTGCCTGCAAACTATTCAAGTGCAATGAAGCTGCGTGAAGCGTCCTTCAAGATTTTTAAAGTCCACTATATTCCCGAATATGTGCGAGAAGTGGTGGCGGGGCCAGGCTGCTCTGCCGACCTTAAAGGTCTCGGCGTCTACGCAGACAAAGCGCGCCATAATGCAGTACAAACATGAGGAGGGGAGGAGGATTCTACTGTGCATTGACTTTTGCACCCTCTAGTATGTCAAAGTAAAAGGTACCCTTTCACTCTGTGGCCGTCATTTCCGTGTAACATCCTCCCCTCCAACTATTCCTCATTACTCTTATCGCTGTCCTTTCTACGAATGTACCTGGTTCCTTCGGCACCTGCGTTAGTGGCTATTGGTGCCCCACACCCCTTGTCTTGAGTCCTCCTCCTCCCTTGATGTTATCTCTGGACAGACAACGACGATCCACTGCAACCTAGAACCCAACCTACATCAAACGGATGTGGACAGTTGGAGGGACCAACCGTGACAGTGGCGTCGACAGCGAATGCAACCGGATCGGATCGCATCTGCAGCGACTGAGGAATTTGGAGGCGGCAGAAGACTCCAGTGATGGAGCGGATAATGCTGAATGCATGGAGAGAGTCGGATAGCGTGAGGGTGAGCTGATTCTTGTTGAGAGTCAGAGTGCCGTATGTAGGTTTTGTAGGAGAAAGTCTTGGATGTACAATCATCTTGTAGTCCCGATTGTAAAAACTTTGACTCTGACTCTGGCTCCCACTCTTCGTCACAGATCACACTGCTATACCGTACTTTAGTGCTGTCATTAGATGTTACCTCTTTTAATTTGGTTTCCTAATATTTCTTTCGTGCTGCACTGTCCATTAGTACAATGACGATTCCTGATGAACGTTGTAGTACTGGTATGCATGGTAATCAAACTTTCATTTTTTTCATAAATATTCAGCAGTTGAGGGTGTTGAAAAGGGAGAGTCTGAAGACGAATGTTTCCTTCAGCCTTTCTTCCCTTCTTCTGTTCATGCCCTCAAACGCACCCAAAGAGAGTAAAAAAGCCTACAGACTCTTTAAAATTCATTCGTTACCAAGAGTTTGAAACCTGTCTACGTAGTACTCTTGGTACAGCGAGAGTACAGTAGGACATTGTACTCGGCCTTTCACAGTAACCATTATTCTACACGTAGTCACAGCACCGTTTTTATTGAATCATGGGGTACAAAGGCACTTAGCGGTACCAAGGGCACAGAGTCACAAGTACAGTATGCTAACAATGACTGACTCACGACTGGCATCCGCGGAGCACACGAGTCACAGAGGTTTAGTCCAGTCTAGCACGTCACGGCGAATCTTCCACTTGGCAAACCTGCAAGAAAGCACGACTCCCTGCTCAAAAGATAGAAGCAGTCCAAACATCACTGGTGAGACAAACTTACGTGAGTCAGTGACGCTCTGTTTCCAACAAACGCCTAAGTCCTTGTGAGGCCTAGGTGGAGTCGCTCATGAGTCATGGACTGATGGAGTGGTGAAAATCAGAGAGGGTCCTTGACCGTTGTTCACAACGCTGTCACATACCCCGTCTACTACGGTACTAGTCTCGGTCTGCATACCATCGTCCAGCTTACGAACTCAGGCCAGTCAGGGAGCTGGCGGTGGTTGAAAGCCGGATCTAAACCAGTTGTGGTTTTAGTGTAAAACTCTCGCCGCTCTCATGATACATATTTTCCACACCTAGTACCTGTGTTGTATTTTCTTCCTATCATACCCTGGTTTCTCATCATAAAAAAAGCACCACAAATATTATTTGTAGTGCTTTTGCCTGTAAAAGAGGCTGTTGTGTCAACTTGTGTGCTCAGTGCATGACTCATAACAATTTCCTTCATCACAATCATTGTGTTTATTTTGCCCGTCTGCTACTTAAGTCGAATACATGACTGTAGTACTACTAGTCGCTCGCTAGTTGACTCAACAGAAAGGGCAACAAGAACCGCGATTTGAAACCACCATTCAATGACATGGGCAAGAATATAACCAAAACTTGGCAAAAAGAACATCAAACTTGCACATGCGCTTGGTTACAAGCCCGATGGGTGGGGCACTATTCAAGAGAGAGCTTTATTTTTTCACTGGCTCTAGACTGGGGCACTATTTGAGATAGGGCACAATCCAAGAGGGAGCTCTAATCGCGCGAGTACGGTAGTTAGCTGCTGGTTGATGATGCTCTCCGTCACTTTGGACAGGGTAGCCAGAAGAGACACAGGGCGGTAGACGGTGTTCTGCGCGACAGTTTCAAGAGCCAATGTCTGTAATGACCAAATATCACCGGATATGGCCAAATTTCCGATTTCGCTCAAAGTTGGCTCCTTTTATTCCTGGGTGGAGGGTGGACCTCAGTCACCCACTGTGACAGTTTGGTCCTCGGATATTGAGCAAAATTAAAAACTCGACTGGCACAATTATGGACAAATCGACTCGCACCACATGGACAACTTTCCGAAGTGGACGTCACAACTCCCAGTCGAAAGCAGACATGGAACAGGTTCATTACTGGGGCTGTAGCTCGTTGCTACACTCCTTCAGGAAACGTGCCGGGATGCTGTCTGGTCTGGTGGCCTTTTAAAGAGGAAATTGGTTGGGCGAGTTGACCGTTGACACTGTCCTTGCAGAAGTGGACATGCTCGTGAAGTGGATAATCCAGGATCGACACGTCAGGAAGGTCATCATGCACAAGACTTCAAGTCTGCGCTAAGGTTCATGGCATGGCATGGCCGGCATAGTACATGGCTGCAATGCTGAGGTTCTTCATTTGACGAGACTAACCACGTGAATCTTTCAGATACTATTAGTATTAGCACGAACGGTTCACCAGCCACACTCCACAATAGCAAGTACTAGTAGTTACTCCTGACAAGTCTTGTTTCGTTCTATAGGAGGACGGGAACAGTCCGAACTCATCAGAGGGAGAAGCATTTGCTGAATGAAAGGGTTGAGCTAAAATAATAATGCTGCTTTATACAGAAGATACTGGCAAAATGTGTGTACACACACGTGACAAACCAACAGAAAACGAATAGTGCAGAGTGGAGGTCACAGTGTTACCGGTAACTTTACCAGGCACTCCACTATCAGAAGTGCTAAGTCAATCGTGGGGAGAAAGAGAGGTACACAAAAAAGGTTGCGCTTAAAACTGGATGGACCAACAGAAGGCAGCATCAACGAATTGGGACATCTTCTGGACCAGGAAATATGCCAATGGATGCATTCGATTACACGTTCTGTACTCTGATTTTGAAATTATCGAATAACGGATTGCGGCCAAGTAAACTCACGACTGGAATTCTGTCTATACTCATGGTAAACTCACGACAAAACCGTGTAAAGAGATCATGCAACTCTTTGTACACTTCAGTGAGGGTTCTAGCCAAAGGGGATAGGAGGCGCAAATAATGGCGACGCACAGCCACAACAAACAGGGATGTTGTGGGCAGGCAGCTGATTCCACGCAATACTAAGACAAACAAAGGGGACTGATTCGAATGAGCAAAGGTTGGTTTGAGTAACACGGTATGTCTTGGGCTCCCTAGTTTGGGGGCCAATTTTGGTCAAGATGGCGCCAATCGTCCCGTACAACTTTTGATTAATGGACCAGGCATATTATCTCTCCAGAGGGGAATCAGTGATTCACATCCTCACACCCCATAATACATGTGTACTGCAAAGTGGCTCGAAGAGACTGACGAAAGAGCCGAGCAGTCAGTCCTTTCTTTGGCAATGCCTACTGCGCAATTTAAAAGGGAAGCAACGCACGTACACTCCTAGGCAGTGGCAGGCACTGCCCATAACTTTGAAACGTCCGTAACTCTCAATCACATTTTTTACAAGATAACCACAAACCATCATGGTGAAAACGCCGGCATATAACCACGTTTCAATGGGAAACGGCTAGAGGTCTGGCATATGACGTCGCTATTTCCCCAAAAAAAAACTCACCCACTCACCTCACCCGGTAGACCGAGGCGACCGAAACTTCTAGGTCCGGATAAGAGAGATTATGAGTGCGCACTGCACAGGTAACTGAAATGAAACTACAATTGTATTGGAAGTTGGGCTCGAGGCCAATTTTCCCAAGACGACACTAAACTACCGGATGAAAAATTAAATACATAAGACACAGCGAAATGACATTAAAAAGCAGTCAATGAGGATGTGAAAAGACGTACTGAACTTGGGACAGGGGTAAATGTCTAGCTATATGAACACCATTGCAGAAGTACACCAACAAAAGACAGCGCAATGATAGTATAGGACTGAAATTGACATTCTAAAATGAGCACGTGTTTGAAATCATGCAGCCAGCAGCATCAGACGTGAGATAAACAAGCGAATTTCTGCACTGGGATGCCAGCACCCTTCACACAACGTGCTCATACATGTGATCAAATCTTAAAATTTAATACATAATACTGCTACACTATGCAAGCCATAGGTGCCAGCAGAATAGGGGGGGCAGGACACACAATAATGGGCAATTTATTGAATTATCTAATAAAAAGAAGAAGTACAATGTAGTGTCTAACATGAAATAAAATAAAAGAACACGGCAGATATCAAGATCTAGTCAACTTCCTCGCTCTCTTCCACAAATGTTACCAAGGCGGTTTTCCCTGTTACTTGGTTGCCTTCATGAGTCATAACCTTATCAACAACAGCATTGCGAGGTGCTCTCATCTCATACTGAACACAACACAACACAACACAACAAAGCAGCAGCAGCAGCACTCATCAAAACTGTTCAGCGCCCAATATGACAATTACAACCTCTGGCATGACTGCGTAAGTCCTGTCAAGCATGGCCATAGTCTGCACCCGGCCTTAGCGCTTGTTGTTTGGAGGTTGCGCGGATAAGCAAGTCCTGACTGCAAGTGATACAGAAGGTACACTTTATATACACTTGAAGCATCATGAGGGCAAGCTGTTAATCCCAATTTTTTGCTAGTGTATGAATCCTTGCCTATATTTGGGGCCTGTGAAAACCACACCCATACGTTCGCATTTATGTCGCGCAATGAGAGAAAAACCTACTTTTACAAACAGGAGTTCGCTTTTCATTTGTTTCTATGAGGCAGGCTTGTACTTATGATATAAGTGCATTTCAATTCTTTTTCTGTAATTCAGGACCACTATAATCATACACTGTTGAGGCAAATCCACTGGAATCAATCACAAGAGACGATCATTTCTTCGCATATTTCTGTAAACAGTGGGTAAACGAGTCCAATGACCTAACATCATGTTGATACTGACGTAGTGCGATGCAACTAGCAAGAAAAACTCAATCATTATAGGGCCAATTTTGCAAATTTTAAATTTCAAAGCAATTTGGTACCCTTTCGAATCGGGGTTCGGAATACCAGTTTCGTCTCCTCGCACCAAGGTTCAACTCAAAGGTTCAAAGGTTCAACTCGAGTGACAGGAACGCTGTAAAACTTTACTAAAAGTTGTAGCCTGCAGGCACGGTGCCCGGGTGACTGGTGTACGCATGAGCACGTGACTGCTTACTTACCCGTGTTCGATTGGGAATAAGGGCCGAACGCTGCATCGCAGCCTTTTCGGACCAAAACCAGTCGACTCAGCACCCCGAAGACTACAACTGGTGAAAATTTGATTTTAGGGTATACTTCCCCTTAAACCTACAGTAAAAACCTGTTTTATTTGTTGAAGTAAATTAATTGTTGACCGTTCTTTTATTTTTAGGACTGTTTTGACATTTTCTGTTCCGGGCCTATTCTGCAGTTGCATGCGTATAAGCACCTCATTCCCGCTCGTTCCTCATTCTTCCTTCCATTTGGCAAATGCTGGTTTTTATACATTGTGTAATTACTCAGCTTTATTTGCAATAATAATAATAATAATAATGGTGAACGGTACTATTCGGCCAATAAAATGTAAAGAACTCTTCCTCTCCTCTCCTCCGTGCGCTCTCACAGCCTCTCTCTCTCTATCTATCTCTCTCCCTCTCTCTCCCTCTCTCTCCCTCTCTCTCCCTCTCTCTCCCCCTCTCCCTCTCCCTCTCTCTCCCTCTCTCCCTCTCTCCCTCTCTCCCTCTCTCCCTCTCTCCCCCTCTCCCTCTCTCCCTCTCTCCCTCTCTCCCCCTCTCCCCCTCTCCCTCTCTCCCCCTCTCTCCCCCTCTCTCCCCCTCTCTCCCCCTCTCTCCCTCTCTCCCCCTCTCTCCCTCACTCACTCACTCACTCACTCTCTCTCCCCCTCTCCCTCTCCCTCTCTCTCCCTCTCTCTCCCTCTCTCTCCCCCTCTCCCTCTCCCTCTCTCTCCCTCTCTCCCTCTCTCCCTCTCTCCCTCTCTCCCTCTCTCCCTCTCCCCCTCTCTCCCCCTCTCTCCCTCTCCCCCTCTCTCCCTCTCTCCCTCTCTCCCCCTCTCCCTCTCTCCCTCTCTCCCCCTCTCCCTCTCTCCCCCTCTCTCCCCCTCTCTCCCCCTCTCTCCCCCTCTCTCCCCCTCTCTCCCCCTCTCTCCCCCTCTCCTCACTCTCACTCACTCTCACTCACTCTCACTCACTCTCACTCACTCTCACTCACTCTCACTCACTCTCACTCACTCTCACTCACTCTCACTCACTCACTCTCACTCACTCTCACTCACTCTCACTCACTCTCACTCACTCTCACTCACTCTCACTCACTCTCACTCACTCTCACTCACTCTCACTCACTCTCACTCACTCTCACTCACTCTCACTCACTCTCACTCACTCTCACTCACTCTCACTCACTCACTCTCACTCACTCTCACTCACTCACTCTCACTCACTCTCACTCACTCTCACTCACTCTCACTCACTCACTCTCACTCACTCTCACTCACTCTCACTCACTCTCACTCACTCTCACTCACTCTCACTCACTCACTCACTCTCACTCACTCACTCACTCGCACTCACTCACTCACTCGCACTCACTCACTCACTCGCACTCACTCACTCTCACTCACTCACTCTCACTCACTCACTCGCACTCACTCTCACTCACTCACTCTCACTCACACTCACTCACACTCTCACTCACTCTCACTCTCACTCACTCTCACTCTCACTCACTCTCACTCACTCACTCTCACTCTCACTCACTCTCACTCACTCTCACTCTCACTCACTCTCACTCACTCACTCTCACTCACTCTCACTCTCACTCACTCTCACTCACTCTCACTCACTCTCACTCACTCTCACTCACTCTCACTCACTCTCTCCCCCTCTCTCCCTCACTCACTCTCACTCACTCTCACTCACTCTCACTCACTCTCACTCACTCTCACTCACTCTCACTCACTCTCACTCTCACACACACACACACACACACACACACACACACACACACACACACACTCTCCCCCCCCCCCCCCCTCCCACACACACACCCCCACCCACACCCACCCACACCCACCCACACACACACCCACGCACGCACACACACACACACACACACACACACGCACACACACACACGCACACACACACATGCAAGCGTACACATAA